AAAGCTCGGAACAATCCATTGAAATACCAACACATTTGGTTAACGGATCCTAAGGTAAATCTTCTCACATAGTTTAAGTTTCATTATTTTAAACTTAGATCCACGATAAATCAAAACCCTCAACTTCCAACATGCGATTATTAATTTTTTTCCACTTTATAATCTTCTCACATAGTTTAAGTTCCTTTATTTGAAACTTCGATCCAAAATAAATCAAAACCATTAACTTTAAACATCTGTTTATCAATTTTTTAATCTAAAATAAGAGCACATAATGTCCTCAAACTCTTTCTTCGTTTGGAAAGATTGCTAAATTTAATTCATTCAAGTTGTAATATTTTTAAATCTCAAATGTAGCAAATTCCAGAGTATATAAATGAAAAGATGTATAAAATTGGATTTCTAAAAATGCAATATTCCCTTCTTTCGAAAGAGGAAACCCATATCAATTTCTTTAATGCATTCTATAACCAGAACTATTGTTCTTGTGCACTACACACTCAAACGGTGAACTTAAATCTTCCTTTTCCAAGCTTGTCAAATTTCTGTCTCACCTAACAGCTTTCTAGTTTCTTTCAGTCTCTGTACTTAAAATTTATGTCTAATCCCTACATATGATAAAAGATAACATAACAAAAGTCCCATCTAGATTTACACATAACTAACAAGAGTATGTTGCATCACTGAAAACTTAAGGTCTCAGCCTTAATTCATTTATAATTGATGATTTGACTATTTCCTAAGCATAGCATAGCATAATATAATCTAATCTAATAAGTTCTTTGTATCTTCTTTTTCTTAATAACAAATTAGTAGAAGTCCCTTAATTCTTCTTTACACCTCCAAATAGTTAAAAGAATTCATCCTAACTTTATTACATTGTTATCCTACAAGACATAAATTCATTTCGAACTTCTTGGATATGAATGCATAAATTGTGAAACACATTTTGTAGCAATCCGGGTTTCTATACCCAAGCGATTAGCTTACATACTTGTTCAATTGCCATCAGAATTCAATTTAAGTTTCTTATTAGGTAGAGATCTTTGGTTCGAATCTTTGGGAACACAATAGAAAGCTATGAGAGGGTAAGTGGGCATAAGCCCACCTAAAACAAACTTAGTAAACTAACATTTTGGGTGTAGAAACCCGGATCATTACACTTTCAAAGACCTAAGCATTAAAGTTATGTCATGTAAAACAATATTATAATAACAAGTTTTTCTCTTTCATATTCAAGAAACACAGGAAAACACACACACATTTCCTTAGTAACAACAATTTACTTTTCCCTAAACCATTCAATTTCAAATGTCCAGACATATGCTTTTTAACTTTAACAAATGCTAACAAAATCTCACCTCTGTCCAACAAATCACCATTTTAAATACATACATACATAACCATATCGACAAACATGGATAGACAAATAATAGACACTCTTCATTAATGCATAGTTTATTTTCAAAAAATCTAACATCAAATACATTGTATCTCATTCTATTCATGCATTAAAACACAAATCACACAACTTCACTATTTAATTTAAGATTAACATTCCACTTCAATACTCATTTTGAAATGCTAAAAAAATTTCCCTTACATTAAAATTATTTTTTGTCCTCTCTTATAAAATCTCGCCATAACATCTTTTAACTTAATTTGTTTTTGCAGAGGAACAAAATCCAGGCTACATTATTCGAGAACGCCATCACAGCTTTCGAAGACACCTTACTACCATACAAAACATACCTCATCTGATGGACAATCAATGCAAATTGTTGAAGTTATGAACAATTTAGCTCTCTCCCTTCATTAGCTTACAACTTCATATCATTTGAAAATCTTCAGCCATATATGGATAGAAATGCAGAAATTAGTAAGTACTTGCAATCTTGTTAACATCCTACACTTCATTACTTCTATCTTAAACATAAATTACAATCCATACTAATTACTAATACATATTACTTCTTGTAGGCAATTGCAATTGACATCTTCCCCAAAAGAGTAATTCAAATTCATGACAACCAATCAACTGTACAAGATGTCATTCTCAAGAACGAAAGGTTAGACACTTACTATTGCCAACACTAAAATAACTCTTTTGGTTAGATATTAAATACGACTAAAAACCTTACAAGTTAGAAACATGTATGCTTCAGATGTGGGACAATTTCATTACAAATGAATGTAATACCATTTGCAACACAATCACCAAAAAACCAGTTCTTGTAAGTAGCAGATTAAGAGTAACTTCTTTCAATAGTAAATTCACTCATCCTCCTACACTATCATACCAACACTTATCAATTTAAACCTTGCATGCAAAAACTAAATTCAATGTCTATTTAGGTATATCAATCTCTACAAAAATCAACTCATCAATACTCATTAATCCCCCATTCGAGCAAGTTCTTGAACTAAAGTATTGGTATATTCTTTCACTTACTCATTCATTTACATAAGTATATCTATTGTAATTATTACTCTTAATTTCCTTATTATTTTTAACAATTGAATTCTTTCATGCATATTAAGTTGGAAAACTAGTAATTTCATCGTGGCAAGAAAATATTATATCTTCCCCACATCTGTCACCATTTGTTATCCATCGAAAGAAAAGTTAGTCAACATCTGTAACGACCTAAATTTTAATATTTAAATCATTATTAAAAGTTTAATTGAAACTTAAAAAAAGATGACATGCAATAAATATAAACTTATGTAACGTTAGTTTACTCACTATTACAAAAAATAATTCCATATTCTTTAAAAAAAAATGAGGACTTTCATACCCATATCTTATTTATTTCGTAATTAAATAAACATTTCAAACATCACAACATGAAATTTTTGGTTCCACCAATATTAAATAAATATATGGAAAAATATAACCAAATAAAACAAGTTCCAAACCCTAAATAATGAATCCACATAATCATAAAACTAAAGTAAATATTGAAAATAAAATCTATAATCATGTTACACTGGATTTAATTTATTAAGTCCAATAAATCCAAGCACAGCACAGCGACTGCAACTCATCTCTCGCCATCCAACAATCCGTTCGGAAAAATGGTGAGTACATGTGAATACTCAGTATGACACAAATAATGGTACAATCCCGAATAAAAATATTAAATCATGCGTAAAAAATATCATGTCGTCATATCATATTTTTAGAAACTGGTAAGAGCTCAATAAATATGATATCTTTGGTACCAGATAACCATAACGTACATATCATATCATAACTTTTATTAGCATAGTATTTATCAACGTGAAGAAGTAAATTAAACGGGACAAACCACTTGCACCTCGTAATCTTACCTCGCTTGTTCAATCAAATTTTGAAAGAAAGAGAAAGCACGTTTCCAATTTTTTATTTTCTGCCTACTACTGTAGTCGTGTGCGTATGTATATTCTGATATGAGAATAAAGAGGTATATGCATAGTATTTAAGTTAAAAAGGACAATTGAATTTTTAGGTAAAATGGAGTTACATAAAGCTGCGTGTCAACATGTAAAGGCCATTATCAAGAATATTCTACTTCATCATTATCCTATCTAACCAAAAAAAAAAACCACCTTATCTCTATCTAATTCTACACGTGGCTCCTACGCATTTCAAGTCCAATATTTAATTTATAAAAACCAATTATTAACAACTTATTTTAACTTTAATAACTTGGGCTTCGTTTGTCCGAATTAACTTTTCTCGAGCCTAATATACATGATCAATTACGAGCCCTCCAACGAGCCCCATATTATATACCTTTCATCGTTTTATAAAAAAATCTAAATATTGACCCAAGTAAAATTGAATTAATACATATATCACTTTAATCTTTCAATTTTTTTAAATATAAAAATATAGCACCTAGAATAATTAAATTCTATTCTATGAAATTTTCGGAGCTCCACAATCTCCCCTCCAAATATTTTCGTCCTCAAAAATTTACCTTGACTAATCGAAAAGTTTTAGATACTTGGTTTTTAGCTCATCTTCTTTCTCTCAAATTGACTTGCCAGGTCCATGATTTTGCCATTGAATCTTGACCGGGAGAACTTCTCTATTTTGTAATTGATGCACCTTTCTATCCAAAATTATCGTTGGAGCTTCTTCATATGACAAATCTTTTTGTCCTATTGTCTTATAGCTCACTACATGTTTAGGATTATGAATGTATTTTCTGAACATCGAAACATGGACCACAGTATGCATTGCTGGGAGTTCGGGTGCTAAGGCAAGTTGGTAAGCTACACTACCGATCCTTTCAAGAATTTCGTAAGGTCTAATGAACCGTAGTCTAAACTTTCCATTCTTACCAAATCTCATCCAAATCTCAATACACCCTTCATAGGTGCTACCTTCAGAAAAATGGTCACCCACTTTAAATTCCAAATCCTTTCTTCTACATAACTTTTCTGTCGATCTTGTGTTGTCTTTATTTTTGCTCTGATTTTGTCAACTGCTTCAATTGTTCGTTTAACGATTTCAGGATTCAAAATTCTATTCTCTCCAACCTTGTTCCAATGGATAGGGAGAGATGTATTTCCTTACCTTAAAGAGTTGCATATGGAGCTATGCCTATAGTAACCTGAAAGCTATTGTTGTAAGCAAACCCTACTAATGGCAGACAACCACCGCCAAGATCCAAAACACATACCCTCAACATATCTTCAAGAGTTTAAATTGTTCTTTCTGATTGTCCATCCATCTGTGGATGATATGCAGTACTAAATTCAAGTTTCGTCCCCATAGCTACCTGTAAACTTTTCCAAAATTTCGATGTGAACCTCGGGTCTGTATCTGAAATAATGGTGATTGAATCTCCATGCAATCTGACTATCTCTCTGATATATAACGGTGCGAGCTGTTCCATCATGAAATTCACACTGTTATGATTTTTGATATGCCTCATTCTTTTTATGTAGTCAATATTTTCTTATTGTAGAGGATGTGGATTAATCTTTACGTATTTATCCACTTTCAGGATGTCCACGAGACTGCTGCAGGAGCTCTTTGGAATCTTGCTTTTAATCCTGGTAATGCTCTTCGAATTGTAGAGGAAGGAGGTGTTCCTACCCTAGTACATCTCTGTTCTTCTTCTGTATCAAAAATGGCACGATTCATGTCAGCATTGGCACTGGCATACATGTTTGATGGAAGGTACCTGATCATCTTCTCAATTTGGACATCTCCACACTTCATGTCTGCATTGTACTAGAATACATACCCTCTACAGTGTACTTATACATAGTCGCTTAGGGAATCTTTTTCCTTCCGTTGCTGCTGCTTTTTCTGTGCCTATTCTTTTGGAAAGGGGAGGTATTGACAACAGATCTTGAAAAATCGCATGCTGTGTTGCAGAATGGATGAAATTGCCCTGACAGGGACATCCTCAAAAAGCACTTCCAAGAGTGTAAGCCTAGATGGTGCTAGAAAAATGGCTTTGAAAAACATTGAAGCTTTTGTCCTGACCTTTTCTGACCCACAAGCATTTTCTGCTGCTGCTGCATCATCAGCTACTACAGCACTGACCCAAGTAACAGAATCTGCTCAAATTCAAGAAGCAGGTCATCTAAGATGCAGGTTCCTCTCTCTCTCTCTCTCTCTAACATTTTCTCTTTCTTCTTTATTTCATTACTTCCTTCAAAAGAATTGTTGATAAGCAACTAGAAGTTTGGCACCGTGAGAAATCAACTTGAGGCATTTGTTTTCCTATGTACTTTACCATTGAGTTTCAGAAGTTCACTATATTCTAGTTTTTCTGTTCAGAATGCTGAAGTAATGCATTTGTTCATCATCAAAGCTGATATTTGGTGGTTTCTGCTACCTTGATAAGATCAATATTAGCAAAACATAGCTCATTTAACTATTCTAAACTGTGTTCGATTCTATTTTTCAAGAGTGCCACCACTCCCCGGTTGGCAACTAACATCACATTTCTACCTTTCTCATATCGAATTTGGAATCAATGAGTCAATCTTCTTCATTATATATATGTTGTGTTTTTTCAGTAAGTATTGAGAGTCTTGCTGGATTCTCAATATTCTATCTGTGCAGTGTGATTTAGTGAGCTTTTCTTGATCATATAAAGGGATGTTTAGGCTTGTTTAAAAATGAGCGCGACTGTGTAAGCTGGCACATGCTGAGCAACTAAGGTGGATTTGAAAAAGAGAAATATTAAACTGATACATTTAGTCGATAAGCTCTGTGAAGCAAAAATGATAAAAACAACCTTAGGGGAGAAATTCTGGTTGTAAAGGATTCTAAAATTGAAACGGATTTAAGGTTCATGTATTTGATGTATTACTTTGCGCAAATAAATTCTGAACTCCACCAGCTTTGGTTCACTCATTCCCTGTGCTCAGTCCTGGATTCAAATTTCTTCCTATGTGCTTGTGTTTTTGCATGGTAATCATTCTGTTGCACGGACACTTGCACGGACACTTCAAATATGATAAATTTTTGTCCGACACGCGTCGGATACCGACACTCATCTGATACTCTGCCCGGTCATTTTTCTTTTTTTTATCAAGAATATTATATATTTTTAACTCAAAATTATTATTAAATAACAAATAGGCTATAATGCTAGGATTCGAGTACGGGTACGTAACTAAGTTTCGGATTTTTTATTTTCTAAAATATAGAATACGGGCACATCGCTAAAATAAGTCCAAATTTTGAACATTGGTATGTTGGTACGTCTTTCAAACTTAAATTTTTTTTTTATTAATCCAAGATGTCATTTTNTTGGTACGTCTTTCAAACTTAAATTTTTTTTTTATTAATCCAAGATGTCATTTTGAATAGATCAAAATCAGTTGTTCACAAAGAAGGAAATGAGTATTGAATAAAGTGTTAAGACGAATAAAATAGAATTTCGGGGTTTAGTTTTTAATTATGGGAAGTTAATTACTAAATATTACATAAAATAGAAAATGAGGGACTTAATTGCAATTTGAACTTAATGGAACACTAAATATCACTATATAGAACTCATTTTCATTTTATACAAAGAAAACTCTAAACCATCGATACAAAGAGAGAGAAAAAGGAAGAAAGGGGAAAGAAAGAAGAAAAAGAAGGGATGAGCGCTAGGTTTTCAGAGAGCATAAACGGGAAAGAAGAAAAGGGAAAGAAAAAAAGAAGAAGCAAAAACGACGAAGTGTCAGATTGAAACTTGGAGGATCCGACACATGTCGTATACCCATGCTGTATTGTGTCGATAAGGGTACTTCGTCTGTTTCGAAGAGTTCAACAAAAAAAATTATTAACAAGTATAAAACTAAATTTATATTATATAAAAGAAGAATTTTAAAAAATTTAATTAGCATATCGGGCACATATCGTGGTATAGTACTTTGTCAAAGAATTGTGTGTTAGAAGTGTGTCCATGTCTATGCATTATAGGTAATCCCATTCACAACATGCAAGGTCTTTTCTCTGATTTTTGAACAGGTTACCTTTGTCCAAAAAGATGTAAGCATACAGCATTTTCTTTCCTTCCTATCAACTCTGTTATATTAGTTTCCCTTAATTTTCTAGGGTAGTTTTGTGCCTTCGCTGTCTAGCTATTTATCTTGTACGTTTTGGATGCCTTTCCAACTTCTGCTTGATTGCATTTATTTCATTCAGTGGTGCAGAGATAGGAAGATTTGTTGCAATGCTACGAAATCCTTCTCCTATACTAAAAGCATGCGCCGCATTTGCTCTTCTTCAGGTAGTTGATTCCTCTTTTTTTCTCAACATCTTGCATACATTCTATGCTGAACAGTCTTTTTAATCAATTGTTTAAATTTACAATTGTAGTTTACCGTCCCTGGTGGCCGGCATGCGCACCATCACGTATGCCTTCTGCAGAATGCTGGAGCACCAAGGGTGCTGCGTGCATCAGCAGCAGCAACAGGTGCCCCACTGGGAGCCAAAATTTTTGCACGTATTGTTCTCCGAAATCTGGAGCAACATCACAAGGGATCTTTGGTCTGACTAGCTGCTGATCCAACAAAACTCAGCAGGAATAGATGTTCGAATGAGTTGGTCTGGGAAAGGCACAATCTCAATTTACCACTCATTCGTAGGTCCAATGGATTGTCTTTGAGCTTCTTCCACCTTATTGGCTTTCTTGCTCTATAAGTTCTTCCTAAAGAGCCTGCAATTCTGCCTCCAAATAAGATTGTTAGCATAGGTTTGTATGGTTTTTTCCTTCTTCGCTTTACAGTTATTTCTCAGTTAAGTTATAAACATGACACTTGGCCATATGCTATTACCTTAAGACTCGTTTGTTTTAAGTTGTTTCTGAGGTGAACTTATTTTGTTAAAACTGTAACTGGAAACTTTCTGGGCTGCTACTGTTTTGATCTCAAAGACTTGCATCACATTCTAGTTGCCGTGTTAGTTGGCTTTGCCAGCTTCTCATGTCCATTGATGCATATCCTGGTGCCATATTTTTCCCCATTCGTGTTTCTTTGGGTGAAGATTTTTGTTTGTACAAATGATACTCCAAACTTAAAACGACCACAGAGAAATTCGCAAGAAAAATGTAAAAAATCACTTTCCAAATATTTCAGTATGCTGTTATTTTATGTAAATTTCACCATAAAATGGTCCATTTGATTCGTTAATGTGGAGATTTGAAATTAGATTTCACTGACATGTTAAGGTGGATTAGATGGAACTCGACAATATTAAAGAAGAAAAATTAGTTAAATTTTTGATAAATATGGGTCAAGTGATTGATGTATTTCATCATAGGGATTTATGATTATTTACAATCTAATTCTACAAAGCCAAAAAACCATCCTATTGTGCATTAATTTCCTAACCTCAATGACAATCGAAAGTGGATATAAACCATAAACTACTGCAAAATTCGTTGAGTTATAGGCCAGTGAAATCTAGTTTTTGCCTCGAGTTGCTTTGAAAATGATAATATGATCGGTTTTTCTTCATCAGGATAGAACATGCCATGAGAGGATGGGGTAGACCAAAAAAAACATTGTACGTAGTTGTTGAGGAATTAGTTTCGAACTGTCGGAATCAGTAAACTGTAACGGAGCAACACAAAAAGGATCTATGGGAAAAAGACTTAAAGGGCATGTCTGCTGGAGATTTTTATCAAATTTTGAGTAATAATCCAACCGTTAAAGTCAACAAGTGGGGGCCACCTTAGAGAGGAGTCAAATATGGTGGACTGCTTTGCTGGGTAACGGACGGAAAATCAATTTTAATTGGTTTGAAAATTTCTCCCAAACAAAGTATTAGTTTGTTATTATAATTTCATTGTGGTTTGTTTATTTGTAAGGTGATTGCTTCCATGCTCAATAGGTAGGATCTTCCACATACAGATGGCAAAAAAATTCGACAAATTTAATACCAACGAGCTTAATCGGGTAACGGAACAGGAGATTTTGCCCCGAGACGGGGAAGGGTAAACGGGGGCCCCGCCCCGTTAAAATTATGGGTTTATCCCCTTGTACCGAAAAGGGGGGTACCGAATTTTGTACCCCCCTCACAAAAAACGTGGCCCCCACGTGTATTAAAAAAGTCGGCTCGTGGTCCCCACCTTTTGGTGTGAGTTGGGTGTAAAAGATTAGGTAAAATATGATGTACATGTAGCATAACCCTAAAATTATTTATTTATTTATTTTTAGAATTCCATACTTTAAATGAAAATATTCATTAGTTCTAATAGAAAATAACAACTAAAATTATTCGTCTAAATCTAATGAATATAGACAATAAAAATAAATTATCAAAAATTTAAACGAGTAATAATCAGGGAAAGGCCCCGCCCCGCCCCCGCCTTAAACGGGTAACGGGGCTGGAATTTCTTAGCGGGGCGGGCCCTCCCCTCCCGCCCCGTTGCCATCCCTACTTCCACATTTTCAGCTCAAAGCAATTTGAATTTTCTACTTCGAATTAAAGTCTTCAAGGTTGCAAGAGGACCATTATGAACCGGACAAGGCAAGATATATGTAGATAATATATATGATAGATTTTTAAGTAATCTTTGTCAAAATGTCATGAATTGACTAATGCTGAAGCACGTGATCGATTATAAATAAGACTGTGCTACATGTACCGTACATGGCCAGGGAGACAATTACACAAATCTAATTTATTTTCTTACCAGTATGTTTCATGGAGTAGATTATATTCATCCCAGAATTCAGTGTATAAATATAATAGACAACCCATCTCCTTTTTTTTTTTAATTAAATTTTTTCACCGATTTTGCTTGTAAATTTTACAAAGTTAATCCTTAACTTGATCAATTTGCAGTGTAGAGCTGCAGCCTCTCTCCCTTGTGCTCAGACCAGGGCCAAATATGAGATGATTCTGATGATATATTCAGTCTTGTAGTTCCATTTTCCACCAAGTATGGTAGAATGTATTCTTTCATGTCGCTATAAGAAATTTCAAGATGACCTCCAGATACTTTCACAAACTTCACCTTCCCAGCTTCATCCAAGGATTTCAAACCAATCCGATCTTCAGTGTAGAGGGTCGTCTGCAAGGTTCAAAAATACAGTATTTTTGGCATGAAACTCGTGACGTTATCTCGGCAGAACATGTGAGGAGAGGGTAGACATAAAAATTAACCGAATGCAGGTGATGGAAAATTATTCATGTAGGCGACGTGCCCAAAATAATGTGAAAGACTGATATTCATTTTATTTTTTATGCTAAATTTTCGATTTCAGACATAATGAAAACCAATATGCATTGTTTCCATTACAATCTCAAACAGTGCCTCTCAAGATATTCTCAAAAAAGATTTTAGTTACAAAGCTCTTGCATCCTGAGTAAGCATTTGTTAAAAATGAGTCTTGATCATATTATCGACCATGGTTGAAATTTAAATTCATTGCTTATAAGAGACAACATATTTAAGTTTAACAAATCTCCATAATAAACGATAGAATTACCTCTTGTGCAGGCAAAACAGGGGTCCAGGAACCATCTGGAAAATACCCAAACCAAGATGTCTCTTTGGGCACCAGTATTGTATCATGCTCGAACTGAGGATGAAATAAAAAGAAATAAAATCTATAGCCTTTTGAAAGACTTTTTTCCGGAAGCACTGAAAGATCTGAAAATTTACATTCTTCCAATCAAGCAAAGAGAAAAATATCAGAACTCACAACTTACCATGATAAGCACCAAGCCCTGCAAGCTAGCAAACTGCTCCTTGTAAGCCGAATTCCTCTGTATTTCATTGTTAAGCTTTGGGAGGAACCTACATCCTTTATTGTATTCATCTATGTCCTGGAAAAGAGGCAGAAAAGAAAGAATGAAAATTTGACAGGACCTCCTCCTTTGACTTGAGAATGATGATTACTCCCACCATAAACATTTCTCAACAAATATTGTAAATATTTAAAAAGAAAAAACAATTAAGGACGCTACGGTGAATATTGCTAGTGTCGAACACAGAAGATACTCACGGTTGGAATTTTGATATAATTAGCAGGTGCCAAATGTTCCTGAAATTACACACAACAGGGTGTCAATTTAAATGGTATTGTGACTAGGAAGGACACAAACTGAGTGTCATTTAGTTTACAATTTCAAGGCTCAACAGTACACAGTTAATGCTCCTTTTCTTAGTGTAAATGTATATATAGATCATGAAAGTTTGAACTGTTGGAGAAACTTTGAACCTGAACATAGTTGCTGTAAACTGCCAACTGGATCAAAAAGTCCACTAGAATACATACCAGAGCAGACTGCAAAAACAGTGGACTAATCAAACCAAAGTTGCAAGAGTAAACCGTTTACACGTTTATAAAACGAAAAATTCCCCTGAAACAATAGATATTGTTGGAAATCATTCTTTTTACCACCTTACGAGCATACTGAAGGCTTTCAAATGAGGAATCGGAGCTAAAAGTTACCCAAAAATAGAAGGCCCATCTGATAACGTAAAAGACCCTACGATAGTTTAGAATTACTAATAATGCTTACGAGCAATTAGAAACATCCTAAGTTGGCAGAGATTAACACCTTGTGGTCGCTTACTTCACACATATTTCGAAGTTTATAATATTTATAGATGCTTTCACAATTTGAGTTAAGCATGTCCATATAATTACACCTCTTTAACCAACCATCAATTTGTTTAAATTGCATAAATTCCTCAGTTGTTAACATAGAAGCATTTAGAGACAGAAGGCAACTCACTCCGCAAAAGGGAACAGAAGCTATCCCAGCGTGTGGACCTGCCAGAGATATAAAATTCCTCACCTGCCTCAAATTGAGAAAATAAATAGTATATACTCCAACTTGTATATGCACATACATAACCTACATTTCTAGATAAAATATTGCATTGTATATGGTAAATCAAATAGAGTGAAATGTTGTACTTCTTAAAGGAGAAAAGGCGGTTGTTGTCATGCTCACATTACATCAAATGCCTTCAATGATTTTATACTTTGATAGCGCCTGTTTGTCATGACTTTTGAGAAACCAAAAGGATCTTTTGAGACCCAAAAGGTGTTTTTGGACTTGTTTAATTAACTTTATAAAAGTGTTTCTTCTAATTAGAAGAGTTTTTAGAGAAACCTGGCCTAACATAACTTTTTCTAAAACCTCTTTGAGAAGAACTCTTTTAGATATTAGTTTCCAAAAACTAATTAAGGGAGCTTCTTCAGGAAGCTCTTCTATAAGAAGCAAAAGCATAGCAAAACCCTACCAAACGAGCCCATAGACTTTTTCTAAGATAAAAAAAACCATGTGCAGTTTAAAACCATCCAAGTGATCAAATTTTATGCCTCTTGACCACTTCAGTTTATGTGATATTGTTAACACTAGATACTTAGATTTAAGGAACGGGGCAAGAGAATGGTAAGCAAGTTTGGTTGGACATTCTAATAATGATTTATGTAAAAATAAGGAAGCTATAATTATATGAAATACAAGTTCAAAATCCTACACTGAGGTGTTCATGCAGTACTTACAGGTGGTCCTCCTTCACAGAATTCAAGGATTCCTCTACCAACCATATTACCCTGAAAAATATACGAGTACTCTTAACGCCCCAGTCAACCATCATGATTTGTTGCTAAATAAATTTACTGAAAACAAATTGTTTTCTACGGGCCACTTTTCATAAAGTGAGATGCAGAACTTAGTGTGTACTCGACATAAGAAAAGGTACATGTGCTTTAGATTCGTATGGAGATGGAAGAAACATTTTCATAAAGCAAGATGCAGAACTTAGTGTGTACTCGACATAAGAAAAGGTACAAGTGCTTTAGATTCCTATGGAGATGGAAGAAACATTTGTGAATATATACTGGAATAATAACAATATTATCCACATAAATGGTAAGGGATATTAGATTTTGTTATAGGTAGAATATGAAAATTGTTTTCACCTGAGAAAGTCCAATTATGTTGTAACCCTCCCTGAGCTCACTCATTTTCTTCACCTGTAAGTAGCAGAAATAGTCGGAGAAACATATTTATCCATATCAGGAGTAGGAACATTAGCCTGACAGTAATATTACCTTATCACAAGCAATGGCCGTCTACAAAGTT